ATTTTCAAGAACGGAAGCGTGAACAACCAGGATAATTACAGAGGGATCTCGCTTATCAGTGCCCTGGGGAAACTGTTTGCCAGCGTTGTTAATAAAAAAACTTACACAGTGGGCAAATATGCGAGATTTATTACCAGAAGCTCAGGCTGGATTCCGGAAAGGATACTCGACGTTAGACCACATCTTTACCTTGTTTGCAGTTGTCGAAAAGTATCTTTCATTTAACAAACGTAAGCTATATATTGCTTTTGTGGACTTTCGGAAAGCGTTTGATTCTGTGAATAGGCATTGCCTCTGGGCTTGCCTACAGAAGAATCATCTACATTGGAAGATGTATGCAATTCTCAGTTCCATGTACCAGAACGTAAAGTCGTGTGTTCGTAGCGACAAAGGCATAACTGATTTCTTCGACTGTCCACTTGGGTTACGCCAAGGATGTGTATTGAGCCCCTACTGTTCTCTCTGTTCGTTAACGAACTGTACAATGAAATAACGCTTTCTGGAAAACACGCAGTTCAACTATTTCCAGATATTTTTGAGCTCTGGTCACTTCTTTTTTACGGATGACGTAATCCTCTTATCAAGTTCCGTAACAGGTCTACAGAATCAGCTGAACACCCTAGCTAAATACTCAGATGAATGGAAGCTTAGTGTTAATCTGGACAAGACAAACATTGTCATATTAACACAATTCGCAGCACAAGAGAGATGGACATATAAAGGTGGCGCAGTCAACGTTGTAAAACAGTATAAGTATCTAGGCGTCTTGTTTACACAAACATTAAGCATGAATAAATCTGTACAACAACAAGCAACCAGAGCGAAGTAGGCATTCTGTCACCTACAATCAGTCTTATATAAACTTGATGTCATAACATCTCAAATATTCTTTAAACTATTTGACGCCCGAGTACTACCTATTTTACTCTATGGCTCCGAAATATGGGGATGTCAAAGCGTTCATTCTATAGAAAAGGTGCACCTGTTTGCATGCAAGAAATTCTTAAATGTTGGACTTTCAACTCCTAACAGTACGGAGAGTGTGGGCTCTACCCACTGTACATCGATTCTTTCACTAGATGCTTACCCTACTGGCCTAGACTGATTCAAATGTCAGTTCATCGCCTACCGAAGAAAGCATTTGACATGATTTACCACCTAAACGAAATCGGCAAAAATACTTTGGCTTCTTCAATAAAAAAACGTATAATTCACCTATGGATTCGGCTTTGTTTGGACTTCTCAAACAGTGGGCGATTGTTACTCCTATTTGAAGGACTCGTGCTATAGACATGTTTAAACAGGACTGGCATTCATGTCTAGAGGAAAGCTCAAGATACGACACATATCGCATTATTAAATCCAACTTTGTAACTGAGACTTATCTTCACAACGTCAAATCTAAATCTCTTAGTAACTGTCTCATTCGATTTCGACTAGGTCTCAGTGAACTGGAGGTCAATAAAAGGAAGACTCTATAACATCGGAAAAACAACCATTCTCTGTAAAATATGTAACAACGTCGAAGACGAATACCATTTTATGTATCTCTGCCCAATCTATGATGAACTCAGAATTAAATATTTACCTACATCTAATTTCATATCCACACATACCTTTAAGAAACTGTTACCTTGCAGAAATCCTACCACCCAATTTCACATCGCCTTATATAAACACCATGCTTCAACATTACGCCAAACTTCGTTTTGTTAACTGAATTATATTCTTGTTCAACCTATGTATATTCCTATATTGATATGTACACATAACTCTATTGTATATGGGTATGTGGCCTTTGTGCAGTAAAGCATTGATTGATTGATTGATTGACACAGTACGAATATGTGACCATGTTATACAAGTTACACTTCCATCATTAACCTTAAGGATATAAATTTAGATTCATAGATGGTGAACATTTATACAGGATTGGGGGATGGTGACGCTTTTAATTGTACGTTTGATGCATTGTCTGATGTGTATGAGAAGGAATATCCGCAATTAAAAGTTGGTAGGCCACAATCAATGACTTTTATTTGTCGATCTAGCAAATCGCTTCCACGTTTCAAAATGAACATGTTCCCAAGTCATAAACAAGTGGATAGATATACTGCATGACAATTTGTCATTTTTAGTAGTTTGGCCAAGTAGAAATATAATTGATGCAACAATGCCAAGAGGATTCAAGGAACTGTACCCCAAAACCAGAGTTGTGATTGACTGCACCGAGATCTTTACTGAGAAACCATATTCCGTAGCAAAACAGTCACAGATGTACAGCCATTACAGGAGTCACATTACTTACAAAGGTTTGATTGGTATTACTCCAAATGGTGTTATCAGTTTCGTTTCTGATCTGTGGTCTGGAGCAATAAGTGACAGAGAAATTATTATATAATCTGGCTTACTCAACTTATGTGAATATGATGATGCTTTAATGGCAGATAAAGGTTGCTTGATTTCTGATTGACAAGCCAAAGGGAATTCATATGATTATTCCTCCTTTGAAAAGTAAAAGACAGCAGTTGTCATTGGAGGAGATTCAAAAGACAAGACGAATTGCAAACTTAAGGATTCATGTAGAGAGACATACGGAAAAGGTTAAACATTTTACAAGGTATCATGCCTATTACAATATCAAATTCTGTGAACAAAATCTGGAAGATCTGTGATGCGATGACCGCCCTTTTACCACCACTATATCCACATGAATGTGAGGATGATATATTTGTTGAAAGTTATGTATAAAGACAACGCTTAACATTGGTAATCCTTATTTGTGATGACCACTTATTTTTGCAATGCATGAATTTGAAATCACAAAATAGAACAAAAATTGTCTTTAAGGCTTTATTGGAAGTAGTTTTCCAAGGATTAGTTGTAAATTACAAGCAGCTTTCAAAGTGTAACAATTTATTCATTTATGCAGTTCAGGTTTTATACATTTATAGATTCTGTCGAATGAATGTTATTCTCATCTTTTAAGAAGATAAAACAAATAACAAAAGCATGACAGTTTATTAAAATGATAATGCTACACTAAATAGTTCTGTGGTTTGTTTTTCGTTTCACTTTCAGCTTTTCGTGAAGAATTAGACATCATTCGTTTGGACTCTAAACAAATTACGTGTATGTACACTCAGCGTTGCTATTTCTCCCTGCAATTTACGAAATTTGTAGTTAAAATATTTCATATACAGTGATGACATTCTTGTTGAGCTTTCAGAAATATTTAAGTAGAGGAGAAGTCCACGGTAAACACGTCTACTGTCATGTAAAAGCTTCAATTTTTTAGCATTTCATTCCGTTTTTCCTCATCAAGCTTTATTCTTTCGATTGAAATATCCTTCAATGTCCACACAACAAAATCACACCACTTTCTATTCGTAACAGCCATCTGGCCCATGATTTGAAAGTAATAAGGATGGGATTTTTTAGCTTCAAACTTCTATTTTCATCAATTGAACAGAAGACATTTACATGCATGGCAGCTTCGGTAGGTTTGATATCTCTGTATACCGATGGACATTTAATCTCAAGGACACCAAGTGATGGATCACATATGCCACAATTAAGACAGTTTATCAAACCATCTGGAATAGCTCCCACATACGAAAACTGTGGGTTAACAACTAGTCCACATTGTGAAACTTTTATGTTGGGGTGATTTGTCATCATATTCGCCAAATAACGTTGTTTTGCTGTAGACTCGTGTGATACTCCCCATGTAGTTTGAACTGAAATAAAGTCATTCCCATATCCAAGTACATGATGAACAAGTCCGTTGAAAACACTTCCAAACCTTGAACTTGTTATTCTCCCTTTCCTAGCTTCTTCCATTTATCTTCTTTGTGTTGACCCTCGTCAATTGTTCAAATGTTGCTGCTTCTTCTCCAGACAGATTGATAGTTTGCATGTAATCAAGATGATTTGCAGCCATCTGATGAAAGATCTACATGATCTCTAAAGCAACGATCAACGTCAGGAAGTTTTGAAAGACTGGAAGCTTCAGGAAAGCATGAATATCTGTATTTGTGTTGCAGACCACCAGGGCACATAACCTATTATTAACACACAGATATTAGCATGAAACATTTACATTTTACAATTATGGTTTTCATTGAATTCAGGGAGACACCAGACATGTGCTTCACAAATTGTACCCGTGTATGAAATCGAAAACGGGTCCACTGCGTGCGAGCAAAGCTTAAACCACTAGGCTTCCCCATCGCCCCAATATTACATGTCAAAGCATGAGAGGAGTGTGACAGAACACCGACATGTCTGCTGCTGTCAACTCACATTGCCTGAAGCCTACATATCTAACCAGTCGTTAGCTGTCAGTCATCAATCCAATAGTCTTCACCTCAAAAGTGAACAAGTAAGTGGGTTGAATGATACGTCAATATGAGCCATTGTTCGACTACATCGCGTACGGGGAATACAAGAATGGGAACATGAACCGACAAGACAATGATATCACTGTCTTTTCTGGATAAGAGCGTCATATTTTGTATCAAAGATCCAAACTGTGATACCTTGTTTCTTTGTGTAATTTAGAAATGAAATATGAGTTAATAAAAAAGAGTGCTTGCCCTTCTAAGAACGCCAGTCTCTATACTCTATATTTGATTGTTGTTTAACGCCTTACTAAGCAATGTGACAGCGGCCTGTAAATAATCGAGTCTGGGCCAGACAACGAACGAACGAACGAATGAACGAACGAACTTCATGCAGTATGCTTCTACTTATTGATCCCCCCTTTTAGCAATGCATCAATATCAGCTTTAGCCTAGCATCAATATCAGCTTTAGCCTTGCCTCAATATCAGCTTTAGCCTTACACCGATATCAGCTTTAGTCATGCATCAATATCAGCTTTAGCCTAGAATCAATATCAGATTTAGCTTTGCCTCAATATCAGATTTAGCCTTGCGTCAATATCAGCTTTAGCCTAGCATCAATATCAGCTTTAGCCTTGCATCGATATCAGCTTTAGCCTTACATCGATATCAGCTTTAGTCATGCATCAATATCAGCTTTAGCCTAGAATCAATATCAGATTTAGCTTTGCCTCAATATCAGATTTAGCCTTGCGTCAATATCAGCTTTGGTCTTGCTTGCATCAATATCAGATTTATCCATGCATCGATATCAGCTTTTGTCATGCATCAATATCAGCTTTAGCCTTGCCTCAATATCAGGTTTAGCCTTGCCTCAATATCAGCTTTAGCCTTGCATCAATATAGCTATAGCCATAACAACACCACTAGTAAATCAATATCAACCTTAGGCAAATATCAGTATCATAAAGAGTTCTGTGTCAATAACAATCACTGCAATCAAGGTCCACACAACCACACGTCACTGTCAACGCTAACTGGACATCACTATCATCACTGGACGAGTTTCAACATTGAAGTTACCCATACATGAATACCAGCCAAAGCTTAACTGTTATGTTTTCTCCAGCCCTGCATCAATATCAGCATCAGGTGTGCATCGATATCAGCAGCAGTAGCAACAGCTGTTAATCAATTTCAATCCCAGCTTGTCACAAATCAATACCACCGTTATGTATGGAGCATATACAGTTTTCAGTCGTCAGTGACGGGACATCCATGCAACTCACATCACCAAGACCAATACTCAAAATATATGTCTCGGATTTTAATATTTTTCTCAGTATCACGTTAAAAAGGGGTTGCGCATTCCTTTGGCTTTAAAGTATTCAACAAGACGTTTACGCAATTCTTATGTCCCCTGTACGTGGCTTTGTGCAGAGGTGTGTCTCCTCTCTTGTTCTTCACTCGAAGATCCGCCCCAGCTTTCAGCAGAACCTCAACGTTTTCCGTAGAGCCATACTCTGCTGCTCTGTGTAGGGGTGTGTCGCCTCTATTGTCCTGAACGTTTACATCTACCCACATCCTAGAACTCCCATCACAACCATTCTCCTCTGGGAGAAACATGCTACTGGTATCAACACCTTGTTCCAACATCTGCTTAAGACACTCGTACGAGGTTCTCCCGGCTCTGTGAAGCGCTGTTGAACCCCTTCTGTTCTGGATGTTCACATCAGCACCAGCCTTCAACAATTCACCAACACAACTGCAATGGCCCCTTGAAGCCGCTTTATGGAGTGGGGTGTTACCTATCGTATTCTGTATGTTAACATCAACCATGTCTTTCATCAATGCAGCCACACTCTCTGAAACTCCCATCTCGGCTGCTGCATGGAAAGCTGTGTCGCCTGCCATGTTCCTCAAGTACCGACTAGCTCCCGCTGCTAACAGTACGTTTACATAATCTACTGACCGTCTTTTAGCAGCTCGGTGAAGGGATGTGTTTCCTACACTGTTCCGATCGTTCACATAGGCTCCGAACTTTAATAACAGTCTTAATGATTGTACTGAGCCTCTCTCGCCAGCTATGTGGAGTGGGGTGTCACCAGCATTGTTCTTGAGATTGGCATCAGCTCCAGCCTCAAGAAGCAGCTCCACACAGTCCACTGATCTCCTTCCTGCTGCCTTGTGGAGTGGAGTGTCACCGTGGCTGTTCTGAGAGTTCACATTGGCTCGAGATTCCACCAAGAGCTCAACATTATATTCCGACCCGAATTCGGCTGCTATGTGAAGAGGCGAGTCACCTTTATTTTTATACATCATAGCACAACCAGTCCAACTATTTTTACTTCTGTTCTTTTTCAGTTACCAACTTATTTTGCTGTTCTGTAAATGTCGGTTCTGTGCACACTGGATTGTTGGCTCTGTCTCTGGAATATGGAAATAAAATGTTATTGGAGTGTCGTTTTATTGTATATTCACACATATACACGTACGTCATCGGACGCTGTTATATATAACGTTACAGTTTGTACGTACGTCATGAAAGGAAGCTGCATGTAACGTTACACATTTAACCGTACTTCTTTATATCCTGTTGCATTTTACGCTACACGCGTTCAACCGTACGTCATGAAATGCAGTTGCATATCTCGTTACCGTTTAAACGTTTAAAGGTTTGTGTGACCTTGAGACACTTGTGCGTGACAATCAAGGCAAACTCTTGAAGGTACGTCAAGTGACATTCTCGCATACCTAACCCACGCGGCCACCTATCATTCGCAGATTTTTCGAGATCAAGTTATTGATTTCTTATACTTTGGCTCAATTACAACAAATGCGTATTCTCGTGGTTTGTCACCCCGGTGCGGTAAGTAGATAAGTAGGGATCACTAGCGAGGGCAGAAGCTATACACTAAACGCCAAAAGAAACGTTACCCTCCTACCTTTATGAATTACTTAAAACTATCAAGGATATGTTAGAAGGGATTAGTTGACAAGAAATCTTAACAACACAGTTTTATTCAAATCACGAAAACAAATTCTCAAATGCATTCATAGTAAGGTGGAATGCATCTTTTCAGAATAGTTAAATTGTCCTATTTTCGACCATGGCGAAATCAACCAATAACAGTGATTTAGATGTCCAAAAGAAAGGGCGAAATAAAATTCTGCTTTGAGACAAGGATAAACTATTTCAAGTCACCATTTTTGAACTATTAAAACAAGACACAACTGTTGTAGAGTGTGTAAAATTGAAAAATAATCATTCCTATGATTTCAGTTTTTAAATATTCTGCTGATTTGCATTAGTGAAAACAAGTATAACGTGTCTTTGATATTGTGAAAAAGTGTTTAGGAACATCTAAAAATTTTCTTTGTTAACATTTTGGCTTGCAAAGTAACATTTTTCCATTTTCTGTTTATACACAGCAATATGAATCGCCAAAAGTAGCAATATTCAAGCAGTATTTTCATCCATTTCACGTGTAGAATGATTCTATAGGGTATAAAGATAGCCTAGAATGCATGGTGTGATACACATGTACGAGAAATATGCCAAGATTAACAGCTGAAGAGAGAGAAAGAGCCATCGGGATGATGCAGATGGGGTCGACATACAATGCTGTTGCCAACGCCTTCAGATGCCACCGTATCACGGTTATAAGACTTATTCAGCGCTACAGACAGACCGGGGTCACCGTAGACAGACCAAGGAGTGGACGTCCACGCATCACAACGCCAGCTGAAGATAGGTACCTCCGTCATTAAGGAAGGAGGGTAACGTTTCTTTTGGCGTTTAGTGTAGTGCTGGCAACGGGAGTATTTCCTCCTGGGTGGAACTCGGTAAGGTTATGGGCTGTCACACGTCTCTAAGATATGGATGTTGATTTTCCGATTATATGGGCCTGTAGTTTCTTTATGCATGTATTGGTGTACTTAATGCTCTTTACAATGGCATACTGTGCAATATGTTTGCATATAGAAGGTCGAATATAATAATTATTTAAAGATATGCCATCATTTTGCAGGAGTAACTCCTTTAGATTGTTCCCTTACAAAAAGTGCTGATTTTACATGTAATTTGTTCGTAGTCGTGTGGAGCGTCAGTACAGGGAGAGAAAGGTCGTTGTTCGATTCCCGGTTGTGTCACACCAGAACACGACATAATTTGATACTTATTGATTCCATTCAGTAGGGCTGTAAACCCCCCTCGGCTTCGCATACTGCCTGGCGTCGGATACTGGCCAGCTCAGTATCGTGTGTGGAAATGGAGTGGGTTAGCACTATTGAACTGGACTACACACACACACGCACAGACACACGCACACGCACGTTTGTAGATATTGCTGAAAGACTAACACACACACACACACAGACGAAGCTATTCTACACACTACCATGCTTGACGTTACTACCTGTTGATGACAGACACACACACGTTGCCTCATCTACACACTACCATGCTTGACGTTACTACTACCAGTTGATGACAGACTGTGTCTGACACACACACACACACGAAGCTATTCTACACACCACCATGCTTGACGTTACTACCTTTTGAAGACAGACACACACACACAAACACACACGAAGCTATTCCACATGTTGCCTCATCTACACACCACCATACTTGACGTTACTACATGTTGATGACAGACACACACACACACACAAACACACACGAAGCTATTACACATGTCGCCTCATATACACACACCCATGCTTGACGTTACTACCTGTTGATGGCACACATACACACATACACACACGAAGCTATTCCACATGTTGCCTCATCTACACACCACCATACTTGACGTTACTACATGTTGATGACAGACACACACACACAAACACACACGAAGCTAATCCACATGTCGCCTCTTCTACACACCACTAAGCTTGACGTTACTACCTGTTGATGGCAGGCACACACACACACACACAGACACACACACGAAGCTATTCCACATGTCGCCTCATATACACACACCCATGCTTGACGTTACTACCCGTTGATGGCAGACACACACACATACAAACACACACGAAGCTATTACACATGTCGCCTCATCTACACACACCCATGCTTGACGTTACTACATGTTGATGACAGACACACACACACATACACACACGAAGCTATTCCACATGTCGCCTCATCTACACACCACCATACTTGACGTTACTACATGTTGATGACAGACACACACACACACACACACGAAGCTAATCCACATGTCGCCTCTTCTACACACCACTAAGCTTGACGTTACTACCTGTTGATGGCAGACACACACACACACACACACACGAAGCTATTCCACATGTCGCCTCATATACACACCCCCATGCTTGACGTTACTACCTGTTGATGGCACACATACACACACACACACACGAAGCTTTTCCACATTTCGCCTCATCTACACACCACCATGCTTGACGTTACCTGTTGCTGAAAGACACACACACACAGACACAGACACACACACGAAGCTTTTCTACACACCACCATGCTTGACGTTACTACCTTTTCATGACAGAGAAGCATACACACACGAAGCTATTTCACATGTCGCCTCATCTACACACCACCGTGCTTGACGTTACCTGTTGCTGAAAGAGGTCAGTCTGTTCCAAGTGAGTGACCATGGTATCACAGCGCGCTTTCGATGCATATCCAGAATTAAAACAGGTCGGCCCAATGTGGTACTGCCATCACTCGGGACTGTGGACACCCACAAAAAACGCCCCCCTTCTGTCCATGGCCCTGATCATGTGCACACACACGATAAACACAAACTCAGCAACCCTTCACACACGCTGCCTTTCCTCAACATACAAGCACAGAAACAAGTCACACATGCTTGCCCCTCCGGACATTGAAACAACCATATGTTTCTCCCACGTATATTGGAGATCTCAGTCCAGCCAAACTGCCTTGTAGATCAGCGTGCCTCACTCTCTCACACAGCATTAACACACCTACCAAACTACATAAACTAATCAACATACCTGTGAAGCTAGTGACAGTCTGTGGTGAGTTGACATCAACAGACATCAGCGAGGCGACTTGCTTCGACTACAGCATACACATGATAACAATCATACCGTGACAGTCGCCGCTGGGTCAATAGGGTTCCCATACGGTATGAATGCTGAATAGATGTTTTCTGTAACGGCCTGTCATACTCTTTACAACATGGCGCAGTATTGTGTGTAATCACCAAACCGGTTACATTCCACGCTGTCAATGGAAGCCGTATATCTGCACAATGACAAGATAGCTGAAGGCACGTATAAAAGCCTGTCTGTTGTGAGCGCACACTTGAGTAATGCAGCATGATACAACACAGGGGCTTCAGTATGTAGGGAGGTGTGGGGACATGGTGGGACATGGAGGGACATGTAGGGACAACAGGTAGAGATAGTTTAATGTTAACGTCGTATATCCAGTCTGGATATGATAAATGGCAGCAAGATCAACGATCTGGGGAGTTGATTATGTTGATAGGTGTATTCGTATGTGCACACAAATTTTATTCTCACAGTGTGGTTTGATAAAGCGTATATGTCAATAAAAAATGGACAAATACAGACTCAAGTATGTACTTGTTTAATGTTTGCAAAATATGTAACAAAAAATAATCGGTTATGAATACTGTTATCATTAATGTGTTTTGGACCTTAGGTATGAAGTTTTACAGACAACGTTTTGATTACCTCTATTATTGCTGTATCAAACCCAATTGTCTAGTGTGTACCTTCTTCTGGACGATAGTATAAAATGACATATCTGATTATATCAATCAAAACAATTACTCACTGTATAATGTTGAGTTGATCGAAGCGTTTGGGATACAGGGGTGATAATGTTAAGTCAGTCGAAAGGTTCGGGATACAGGGAAGATATTCTGTCCCGTGGCGGTGGGGTAGCCTAGTGGTTAAAGCGTTGGCTCGTCACGCCGAAGACCCGGGTTCGATTCCCCACATGGGCACAATGTGTGAAGCCCATTTCTGGTGTCCCCCGCCGTGATATAGCTGGAATATTGCTAAAAGCGGCGTAAAACTAAATTCAGTCAGTCAGTATTCTGTCCGGTACTTTGTAGAAACTGCAGAGACAGTAGATGTTTCCACACAATGTTTTCAAACGAAGGATTGGGTGGGTGAGTGGTTGAGTGAGTGGTTGAGTGGTTGAGTGAGTGAGTGAGTGAGTGGTTGAGTGGTTGAGTGAGTGAGTGAGTGAGTGTGTTTGTGAGTGATTGAGTGGGTAGGATAAGTGAGTTCGTTTAAAATCACACAGGGATTCACTGTAATTCTAGCATAAAGTTACGAGAACAGAGAACGGCAGGCTGAATTCATTGTCCCTTGTAGTCACACTCTACCTCTGTAGTCTCCATCACATACTTGTGAGACTTGTAAGAACGTTCCTCAGCTGCTAGTGATAATTTCTAAAGACACACACTATACACATTGCGCCACATTTCTGACACGGAATCGTATTACTAAACAAGGAAACATTCAGTGAACATAACCATTTATTATAATCCACAGAAAGTAATGAAGATCTTAATGACAATATATTTCTATGCAGGATTTTTTTTCAGTTCGATATTTCTTGGAAAAGTGATGAATTCTTAATGATTATGTGACAGTCAATAATTTTCAAGTCATCCGCTGAGCCGAACCGCCAAAAGAAGGCTAAGTGACAGCTGCAACCAATTGACACAATACATGAAGGATCATTTTGCCAGGACGTACGCTGTGTATAATAATGGTACCCTGTATAACAGTAGAACTGTATATAATGTAGGTAATGTGTGTATCGTATTCCCATATGTGTATCTTGTGTTCCTATTTTGTCAAACACACAGCTTGCTTGCTTGGTACAAGGGGAGCTCTATTGTACATGTGGCTGCCCTGTGTAGATGTAGGTAATGTGTGTATCGTATTCCCATATGTGTATCTTGTGTTCCTATTTTGTCAAACACACAGCTTGCTTGGTACAAGGGGAGCTCTATTGTACATGTGGCTGCCCTGTGTAGATGTAGGTAATGTGTGTATCGTATTCCCATATGTGTATCTTGTGTTCCTATTGGTACAAGGGGAGTCATTGTACAACACACAGTATCTTGTGTTCCTATTTTGTCAAACACACAGCTTGCTTGGTACAAGGGGAGCTCTATTGTACATGTGGCTGCCCTGTGTAGATGTAGGTAATGTGTGTATCGTATTCCCATATGTGTATCTTGTGTTCCTATTTTGTCAAACACACAGCTTGCTTGGTACAAGGGGAGCTCTATTGTACATGTGGCTGCCCTGTGTAGATGTAGGTAATGTGTGTATCGTATTCCCATATGTGTATCTTGTGTTCCTATTTTGTCAAACACACAGCTTGCTTGGTACAAGGGGAGCTCTATTGTACATGTGGCTGCCCTGTGTAGATGTAGGTAATGTGTGTATCGTATTCCCATATGTGTATCTTGTGTTCCTATTTTGTCAAACACACAGCTTGCTTGGTACAAGGGAGCTCTATTGTACATGTGGCTGCCCTGTGTAGATGTAGGTAATGTGTGTATCGTATTCCCATATGTGTATCTTGTGTTCCTATTTTGTCAAACACACAGCTTGCTTGGTACAAGGGGAGCTCTATTGTACATGGCTGCCCTGTGTAGATGTAGGTAATGTGTGTATCGTATTCCCATATATGTATCTTGTGTTCCTAGGTCAAACACACAGCTTGCTTGGTACAAGGGGAGCTCTATTGTACATGTGGCTGCTCTGTGTTGATGTAGGTAATGTGTGTATCGTATTCCCATATGTGTATCTTGTGTTCCTATTTCGTCAAACACACAGCTTGCTTGGTAAAAGGGGAGCTCTATTGTACATGTGGCTGCTCTGTATTGGTTATCAGTAATCTTCGCGACTCTGAAGTCTGCTTCCCATGGCTCCTAGTATGGTGATCTACCTTCAGTTGTTGGCGATCTATAGCCCGTTTTTATATTGTATTGTCTTCGTAAATAAAATAGTTAACATGTTCATGCTAGTTTTAGACTCCATCTGTGATACTCTAGTTATTTTACAGTCCTTCGATGACTGATTATTTAGCAACTTTAATTTATTGTTTATGTAAAACAATTCTCGTCACTATATGGCTGAAATATTGCCGAGGTGACGTTAAAGTCTAACTCACTCACTCACTCACTGAAGTCTGCTTCGTACAAATAATATCGTATTTCAATTACCTAGATATAGATTTGGGTCTTTCGGAAAACGTTTATCAGTTCGCATAGACCGTCATCACATCAGTATTGTGACTTTAATGAGAGAGTAACAACAATATAAAGGAGAAAGCAAGACGTTTCAGTCGCCGAAATTTGCAGATATGCACACCCAATGTACATCTAAGACCTTCAAGCTTCATAACCATTCCAAGCCTACACCTGCTCGTGGCCATCACAAGCTTACACCTTCACATAGCCGTCCCAAGCCTACACCTTCACACAGACATGCCCATGTTTACACCTTCACATAGCTATCACTAGCCTACACCTTCAGCCATTACACGCTTATACCTTCAAACAACCATCCCAAGCCCATGATAGTCAGTCAGACGCAGACAGCTTCTGATGAGTGGCTTGGCCATGAGCCACTTCAAGCGCAGATAGACGGATCTAGACCGTCTTGACTATCAACGGAAATCTATGCATGCTTATTCCCACGATTCAGAGTGAGTGAGTAAAAATTTAACGTCACATCGGCAATATTTCAGCCATATCGTGACGAGAACAATTAAATATATACATAGTCCCACGATTCAGAAGCCGGTCGAGTGTAGTAGCTAAGTCGACACAGAAATGTTTGTCAACAATATTTTTCCTGACCTTCCTCCAAGATAAAACGTCACCATCTTCTTGTGAATAAATATTACAGCCTGTGGAGTTTGTGGCATTTCACATCATGACGATTCTGTGATAGAACTAGACCCCAGTAACTTATGCTTGTGGTCCGAGAGGACTTCAAGTGGATCGGGTCGGTAGGCTATGCGACATATTTAATGCGAGGGACATTGATCATTGGCTATTGTATGGTTTTTATGTTACAGCGGTTAACAAAGAACTAGAATGACAATTCTATGCATTTTTGCATTTCCTTTGTTTTATGCCGCATTCATCACTTTTCCACCTCAGTCGAGTCTACTTGTAAACAATCAGGAACAAACAAACAAACAACGAGCGCTGTATCCGATCCAACCTAGATCCAACTGAAGACAAGCAACAACTTGCGGAGGACGTGTTATAACCAGAGTTTCATATCATAACCCCTCACCCCCAACCCCTATCTCTATCTCTGTGTATAAAGAGACGCATGCATGATAGATCAAACATAACCATTGCCAAATCTCCATAACTGCAATTATCAATAGAACAAGGTCCACGTCACCTTAACGGAATGCATATACACAATAACACTGTAAAGTAATACTGCATATAGTCCTGCATAACCAAACATGTCTAAACTTAATATAATAGCCATACTTCCTAATCCGAACCTTAAAAAGGAACTTTTTCTGCAATAATTCAATTGCTACCATTGGCATACACATGTCAACGATCGTAATAACATCATTAAGCGTCACCCAGTACCCCGATTTGAAATGTAAATACTTTCCAGCCGTTACCAGCCTACCAGTAGACATAAAATGTAATATTAAAAAAAATGGAGAAATTATTGTCTAGTCCGGACGTGGTTGCTAGACGTAATGATTCCGTGTGACTCATCCAAATAATCGCAGGATTCTTAACAATTTCCCTTTCACCTCACCGAACATTAGTTGTGTATATACTCATATATTAATAAACAAGATGTACCATCTCCTACGTAGGAGATATTAAGGAGATAGTAGGTCCTACGTAGGCGATATTAAGGAGATAGTATGTCCTACGTAGGCGATATTAAGGAGATAGTATGTCCTACGTAGGAGATATTAAGGATATAGTGGGTCCTACGTACGTAGGAGATATTAAGGAGATAAGTAGGTCCCACGTAGGAGATATTAAGGGATAGTAGGTCCTACGTAGGAGATATTAAGGAGATAGTATGTCCTACGTAGGAGATATTAAGGAGTAGGTCCCACGTAGGAGATATTAAGGAGATAGTATGTCCCACGTAGGATATTAAGGAGATAGTATGTCCCACGTAGGAGATATTAAGGATATAGTATGTCCCACGTAGGAGATATTAAGGAGATAGTAGGTCCCTACGTAGGAGATATTAAGGAGATAGTAGGTCCCACGTAGGAGATATTAAGGAGATAGTATGTCCCACGTAGGAGATATTAAGGATATAGTAGGTCCCACGTAGGAGATATTAAGGAGATAGTAGGTCCTACGTAGGAGATATTAAGGAGATAGTAGGTCCCATGTGCACGTAGGTAAGGAGATATAAGGATGATAGTGGGTCCCACGTAGGAGATATTAAGGAGATAGTAGGTCCTACGTAGGAGGATATTAAGGAGATAGTAGGTCCTACGTAGGAGATATTAAGGAGATAGTAGGTCCCTACGTAGGAGATATTAAGGAGATATAGTAGGTCCTACGTAGGAGATATTAAGGAGATAGTAGGTCCTACGTAGGAGATATTAAGGAGATAGTAGGTCCTACGTAGGAGATATTAAGGAGATAGTAGGTCCTACGTAGGAGATAATAAGGAGATAGTATGTCCTACGTAGGAGATATTTAGGAGATAGATAGTATGTCCTAGGAGATAGGAGATATTAAGGATATAGTAGGTCCCACGTAGGAGATATTAAGGAGATAGTAGGTCCTACGTAGGAGATATTAAGGATATAGTATGTCCTACGTAGGAGATATTAAGGATATAGTGGGTCCGACGTAGGAGATATTAAGGAGATAGTAGGTCCTACGTAGGAGATATTAAGGAGATAGTAGGTCCTACGTAGGAGATATTAAGGAGATAGTATGTATCTAACACGCCTGTACAACTTGTTTATATCACATGTATGTATCTAACACGTCTGTACAACATGTCTATATCACACGTATCTATCCAACACGTGTGTACAACATGTCTATATCACACGTATGTATCCAACACGTGTGTACAACATGTCTATATCACACGTATGTATCCAACACGACTGTACAGCTAGGGCCCAGGCAGGTAGCAAAAGTAATGTAAGTCTCCATGGGCCCTAGTATGGTGATCTACCTCCAGTTGTTGACGATCAATAGCCCATTTTTATATTGTATTGTCCAAATATAATTTTCTACTTTTAAAGATATATGCTAGCTAGTTTTAACTCATTTGTGATAACCTAGTAATTCTACTGTCCTTCGTTGACAGGGTTGTATATATTATATGTATGTATTATGAATTTCGAACTAGTAACTATATGGCTGAAATATTGCCGATGTGACTTTACATCTTAACTCACTCATAACACTGCAAAACATGTTTTGTCCCTAAACCGGGCAACTTCGGGGAACTTTCTGCTGAGTCAGGGTCACTTTGGACGAGATAATACTTCTTTTCTCAAATTTATTCCAGCTGCGCCGAGTTCATGGTATGATAGCTTGACACACTTTAAAATTGACGTTGAAATAATGCAGAATGAGCTGAGGTTAACAGTTGAGTTTGAGACCTCCGGTCTTATCATCCACATTGTTTACTCTTATCTCAAATTTTAGATATATATATAAAACTGCCACATGCTGCTCTCACTGTGTTCAAGACAAACATTAAAAGGTTCCTGCTGGTGAACAGAAGTATCATACTTTCACTACAGAATGTTGTTACTGCTTCTCTACTCCTTGTTACTGTTTGGAGCGGCGTTCGCTGACACAACCGTCACAATCTACAACGAGTGGCTCTCCCAAGGTGGACGTGCACATTATGAACCTGAAAGATGGAATAAGATAAACGGCCTCACCCAGCAGAACCTAATTCCAAAGTGTAAGAGTATCGGGGTGGCTGCCGGACGGTGGGTGAACAGAGACTTGAGGAATGGTCTTTTTGTCAATGTAAGTACAAGGTAAAAAGCATTAAGCATACCTAATAGGAATTTAGGGAATATAATTCAATGTCCTTGTTGATGTATACCTACAGAATTCATACTTTGAGGAGAATATTGTTAGGATATTGTTTTACCTTCCTTAAAAGTTTAACTTGGCAGTCCGAGTGTGAGTTAATGTATTTTTATGACCATGGGGCAGATTGTTGTTGATACTACAACTACTCAATTGTCTACCACTGATGTTATTTTATCTTTTTTTCTCTGCTGCAAGTGTTTGTTAGTTCCATTGGTATGTGCACATAGACGTAAATGAAGAATTATATTCAAAAGATCCAAGGGTGTGTCTTTCATGGACACTGGTACCAAAATATAGCACAGTGCCACCACTTAGCCAAGATCCACACATACTAAGACCCTTAAGCCTTCCCTTGTTCACGAAGATATTGTAAACGGGAACAAAAAATATCAGACCAGCCATGCACGAGTTAGTGAGGGGTTTTACGCCGCTTTTAGCAATATTCTAGCAATATGAGAGCGGCTGACACCAGAACAGAAATGCAGGGCTATACGATATGGATTTAACTAGGAGTAAGTATGGTAAGTAAAATTGTGACAATGGTTTTTGTTTAACTCTTAGGGGAGGTACGAAACTGATTAATTTCAAGCACGTGTTTAACAAACCAAGACAGTAAGTCGAACATGTAGTGTAATTCACTATGGTCATTTCGGAGATCAGATATGCAACTAATACACTATATATAACAATGATGAACTGTTTTTCTAGAATATATGACTTCTAATCTTACAAGGTTATACCCCCTATTCGACGTAGCAACCCCTCTCCAAAAAGCGCTGCAAAAAAATGTGGAATACAGAATTTCCCCTACCCCAATTTATATAAGTTATACATCCGGGGCGCTAAATACATAGAATCGGGATTAGATTAGTTTGCTGACTTCTTTGACACATGTCATCATATCCCAATTGCGAAGATCGATACTCTTGATGGTAGTCACTGGATTGTCTGTCCAGCCTCGATTATTTAAAGACAGCTGCCATACAGCTGAAGTGTTGCCACAAACAAACAAATAAGAAATCATGGAATGTTCACTAATTAAATACAAGCATTATTTATATATTACACATACAGCATGTAATTGAAGTACAACTACTTGAACTTACCAGGGTCTAATAACCTATTTGGTAATCTCAGTTTCTATCACCCTTTGAAAACAAATCTTTGTTTAGCAATCCTGTCCAAGGAACATATGTTGTATGTAATCCTTACATGTGTTGTTTAACGCTGCACTCAGCAACATTCCAGCTATATGGCCGTGGCCTGTAAATAATCGAGGCAATCTAGTGATAAACATCATGAGCATCGTTCTACGCAATTAGGATACGATGAGTCAGCAAGCCTGACCACCCAATCCCGTCAGTCGCCTCTTACGACAAGCATGGGTTACTGACGACCAATTCTAACCTGGATCTTCCACGGGTTAACCCTCACATGAAAGTTTTGCACATATTTACAGTTTTCTTCCACCGAGATAACTGGCTAATATATACCACGTCTTTCTATTTCATTCAGTGGCCGCAAAGCCCTACTCAGCCTGGTTACCCAGACCCGACGTACCTCCAGGACCCAGCACGCCAGGCAACGACTTGGGCGACGTACATGATGGAGCTGAATGGCTATGGGAATAACATCTCTAACATGGTCTGGAACATACAGGGTAAGTCATTAAAACGTTTCAAGCAGTATAGGAAGAGAGGAACATAGACCGAGATATCTACGGACAATGCAGACTTGGAGTCCTGTCCCAGCGCTGAACACTGGCTTAAGTGGTATAGTCTTCAATCACTCTTCCAGTAACTCTCTCGTTAGAATTTGCTCGATCACCTGTCTATGGTTGGTTTGTTGTTTAACGCTGCACTCAGCAATATCCCAGCTATCTGGAGGCGGTCTGTAAATAACTGAGTCTGGACCAGACAGTCCAGTGATCAACAGCAAAAGCATCAATCTATGGAACTGGGATACAATGACAAGTGTCAACCAAGTCAGTGAACCTGGCCACCCGATCTTGGTTGTCGCCTTTTTCCGACAAGCATGGATTGCTGAAGACCCGGATTTTCTTCTAACCCGGATCTTCGCGGGTACGATCAACTATCCACACACAAATATACACAGAGGGCAGAGAGTGTGAGTGAGTGAGTGAGTGAGTTAAGATTTAACGTCACATCGGCAATATTGCAGCCATATCGTGACGAAAACAAGCCATACAATAAAAAGTAGAAACATTTTAAAGATTAAAACCTGTCGACGATGGACAGTAAAAAGACTAGAGAATCACAGTTATAAATATAAAACTAGCGCAAAGTTAAAATATTCTAATTAAAGAAGACAATACAATATAAAATACGGGCTATAGAGCGCCAACAACTGAAGGTAGATCACCATACTAAGGCCCATGGGGACTTACAGTACTTTTGCTACCTGCATGGACCCTAGCTGGATTTACACCATCCCTTCAGCCATTGGCGTTGATGCTGAGATTTAGCCATACATTAAAAACACAAATATACTACGATTAAAAACCTGGTACACTTAAACTGACTTGAATGTTTTGGGACTTACGTACCCTCTCAGGAGGACAATAATTTTACGCTACTTCAACCCCCTTTGAGGGTACAGCCACTAACAATCTCATTTACTAATTTAATTACCAACAATAAAATATTTATCTGTTTACAAATCACTTAACAAATCTAATTCTTTTAAAAATGCAATAATTAAATGAGTACTAACATTATAAAAAAGATCCTTCAATGTTGTGACATTAAAATACTTATCCCTTGTGATGGGCAGAGAGTGTGAGCTTGGATTCCGAAATTGACTTAACGTTAAAGGTACCAGGATCAGTAGTAACAGGGATGTGTTTGACTTACGTGTCTCTTCTTCTCATTTTACAGGCTTGAGCTGGCCGGTTTGGATGAATAAGTCAGAACATCGATACAAATTCCCCAATAATGTTGATGCTGCATCTGAGTTTGTGTCGCTGATGGTTGAGAGTGCCAATAACTACACAGGAGGACGACTTCCATACATGTTTGAAGTCATCAATGAGCCTGATTGGGTGGAAAGAATCATTGATCCACAAACGAATATAGACTTCCACAGGGCCGTCGCCGACAAACTGAAATCAAGATTTGGAATGAAGATTTGTGGACCATCGTACACCAGTATGGCCTTAGAACAAGCCGACGAAAATAACTTCGCCTACTGGAACAGAACTGCTTCGTTTATGGATATGTCTCTTGACCACTTGGACTTTTTCTTTCCATTCCTACAACGGTCTTCGTATAAAATCAGGAAATTATACCTTTTTCGGCATAAATGAAGCTCGTCTAGTTGCTTCTGTAGACATGGTGGAAAATTACTCATTCCTCAAGAAAGGAAAAAATGTTCAGTTAGTTAACACGGAATTTGGAAGAGGTACTGTTTTCGGGGTCAGTCCAAATTTTCAAAATGGACTGATAGAGTTTGAAACCATTTATCAACCAAACGGTTTCATGTTTACCTTCCTGAACATGAGAGAGTTTATAGACAGAGTTACCATCTTTCTCCTCTCAAATGAACAATTCCCGGGTCATGCTTCCCTTCGGAATTCCTTATTTACTGTCGATGGTCATCCCCTTCAACCAACCAAATTCTTCATGTTTTGGCAAAACTTTACATATGACCAAAAGTTTCTCCGTGTCTCAAGTCAATATAGTGAACAGGAGAGAATGGTTGCACCCCTTGCCCTGGCAAACCCTCTCACCAACGAGATGGTAGTTCTTCTTCACAACTATGGCAGAAAATTGGAGAATGTTAAACTGGACTTTCCCAACAACTGGATCAACCCTTCAACGGGTGAAGAAACATGTGTTCTGCTCGATAATGGTAATCCCGCTATTCATGCCGATTACCATTTCAACATATCGAAGCTTCATGGCACCGTCGGGCTCCCCGGGTCATCAACCTGCTTCTACAAGTTCAAAACGAACTACAACTTTGCTGGACTACGCACGAACAACGAGAACACATACTATGGCAAGGACATGCTTATCCCCATCAACAATGGACATGCACAGACAACCATCATTCTACCCAGCTCCGGATACCACACTGCTCACCTTAGAGTGGGAGTGAGCAGAGACCATAAGGTTGTTACAAAGCCCAATGCAGTTCAGTTCAATGGTCAGGCCTTGTCTTCAAGCTACAAGCTGTTTGATGCTATGGAGAATTTCAGCACTATTCGGACCACTACTTGGAACGTTTGGGAGTTCACGGTCCCCGAATCACTGGTCCAAACAAACAACACAGTCAGCATGACCTTTGTTGGAGATGGTGGTCACGTGACATCTGTCGCACTCGTTGTTGGAAAACTTCTGTAGATAAATGTCACTTTCAGAATATTTTGTTTGTTTTGATTCACATCACACACGAGGAATGAAATCCCAAGAGCGGGTGAATGAATGAATTACTGTATTTCCTCCAGAATTTACCTCCGACGAGTTATGTAACTCAGAGCAAATACCTGAGTGGTGGTTGGGTTATCCAGTGGTTAAAGTATTCCGGGTTCGATTCTCCACATGAATACAATGTGTTAAGCCTTTTTCTGGTGTCCCCCGCCGTGACATGGCTGGTATATTGCTTAAAGCGGTGTAAAACCATACTCACTCACTGAAGTCCAGTTCCACCTGGTCAGTAAGTGATGAACACCGTCACATCGCAGAACTATTGAGTGGGATTTTTTTTCAAAATTGAACTCTGTAGGGAAATCAAACAGGGACTATGTATATATGTTGGTAAAACCAACCTTCTCACTTTTGGTTGGAATATTCAGCAGAAAATGTTTATTAAGCAATTGTGAGCTGAAAATTAGTTTTTCCCAATCAGTCGAATGTTGGGAATTACAGACTGCTCACTCGGTAGGTTCTTGTATAATTTCTAATCCCACTGGCCAAATCAGATGATATAATCAGAAGCCAGCTGCTATGACGAGCGGTAGCACTGGTCGAAGTTTAAACTGGACCTTTACCTTATATGTAAGGCAATTAGAAGTTGGAAGAGTAAGAAAGGATAACGATAATGGGATGAACAACGTCTTTATTACAGTGAGAGCGACGTATCGGAGTAGGTTCTAAAACCGTTAGGGACCAATCATAATTCATGGCTATTACTGATGGAGTGGGTAGGGGTGAGAGCGATGTATCGGAGTAGGTTCTAAAACCGTTAGAGACCAATCATAATTTATGGCTATTACTGATGGAGTGGGTAGGGTCATTCATTCAGTGAGAGCGACATATCGGAGTAGGTTCTAAAACCGTTAGAGACCAATCATAATTTATGGCTATTACTGATGGAGTGGGTAGGGGTCATTCATTCAGTGAGAGCGACGTATCGGAGTAGGTTCTAAAACCGTTAGGGACTAATCATAATTTATGGCTATTACTGATGGAGTGGGTAGGGGTCATTCATTCAGTGAGAGCGACGTATCGGAGTAGGTTCTAAAACCGTTAGGGACTCATCATAATTTATGGCTATTACTGATGGAGTGGGTAGGGGTCATTCATTCAGTGAGAGCGACGTATCGGAGTAGGTTCTAAAACCGTTAGGGACTAATCATAATTTATGGCTATTACTGATGGAGTGGGTAGGGGTCATTCATTCGGTGAGAGCGACGTATCGGAGTAGGTTCTAAAACCGTTAGGGACCAATCATAATTTATGGCTATTACTGATGGAGTGGGTAGGGGTCATTCATTCAGTGAGAGCGACGTATCGTTAGGGACCAATAATAATTTCAGGCTATTACTTTGTATATATATTTGGGGGGTACATGCTTCTACATAGAAATCATCACACATCCATACATACGTCTTTGTGGACGCTGATGACATATGACTCATTTGCCTTGTTTGCCTTTTGACCAATTATCAATAAACGACTCAGTAATATTTATACCGTATCCGTGTGGTTTTATACCATAACAGAATTACCCATTGTTGCAATTTAAATAAGTAATACGACCTTTCAAAAAGGAAAAAGCCACTTTCCAGGCTTAGAAGAATACCGATTTTGAAAGCCTTATCACCGAGCACGAGCATATTGATCAAAAACGAAACAAAGAACGACATTTTGACTTGTTACTGAGAAGATGACATTAATTTATGACGTTACGTCAGGTTATGTGAACATTTGATGTAGTAGTTGCCTCCAGTAACTGTTGCTCAACTGAAAGGCGCGTTTACCGTATTTGAGAAGACATGATGCCATCACTGATTTTCAGTGACCAGTTTAATATTTGTTCATCACAGTTTAGTGTTGTACCTTAGACATTTTACTTTCACGACACAAAAGATCGTTTTAAATTATTTGTCCAGTAGCTCATACTCATACAGAGTACGTTCAAGGTTCTGTTAAACTAAAATTTGAAAACTATCACCTGAAGAAACCATTAAGATGACTTATACCCTGGTGTCTTCAAGGAGTTAATGACAGTTGAGGATGATGACGAGAGACACACAATTCGCGAATACAGGTCAACTGCTGGGTAGAAGTACTAAGACATGCATAGGGACACGCTTCAACACCCTGGATGCCAGAGGGACATATATGTCCTTCCTCCTCAACCCTCACTTTCAAGTCCAATAAAATTCTAAATGTATCTTGTGCACAAATACACGTCACAGTTTCGAATTCTGTGGGAAATTTCTTGTGTTTTGATACCATCCACCATTATTTTAGACAAAGCTAAAGTGCTGAAAATGATCTTTCAAAATAGGCTTCATCGTAAATGTCGTCATTTTGTTTACACATTCCGAAATCGCGATTCACAGTGTTATTTGGTGTATGTTTTGAAATGTAAAAATCGGATAATTACTTGGAATATTGAAATTAAAAAATAACATATTAGTGATCACTGATATCAGTTTTTCATGAAATCACTTTTGATGATTCCGAAACGTTGCCGATGAACTTAAATTGACTGTATAATGTTATACATAAGCACCAAAAGCATTTTCATATGTACTGATGTCGTTCAGATATCGGGTTCTGTTCGCTCACACTTCCCTTAAAGATAGAAACTTTGACAGTGTCTTTACCGGTGCACGATAAAAAGAGGAGACTTTTTAGAATCATAGCAAAATTTCGGACAACATTTAGCAGTGTCTATTTTTCAGACCGTCGAAGTATTTGCACTTACGTTCACACCGTTGGATAGTAGATTGAATATACTACAGTTATGTGTAATTGTATAGCTGTTTTCAGATCCAGTGCCGGGCGAACGAAATTCTTGTACAACGTTCATTTTTCAGATTTTATGATAATGTGCGTCTGAAACAGGACACGGCATCCAGGGGGTGAGGACGCTTGCAATCATTCAAACATTCTCACACTGAGACACTGACACTCACGTTCACACACACACACACACACACACACACACACACACACACACACACACACACACGTACGTTCACACACACACACACACACACACACACACAAACAAACACACACACACACAAAACACACACCGTCCTCTACACCCACAAATACACGCTCAACGACAAGCACTCAAATAAACATACACACACTCACTCACAAACACACACAATCAAGTAAAACATACACAACACACACGTGTCATTTCCCCCCAAAAAGTGAAAGTCAATTCAAACTTACCAGGATTTTTAAATGTTGTATTCTTGTTATTTTAATTTTAACATTTCTTACAATCGCTAGCAGCTGAAGAGGTTGGGTAAATCCAACTAGGGTCCATGCAGGTAGCAAAGGTACTGTAAGTCCCCATGGACCCTAGAATGGTGATCTACTTCAGTTGTTGGCGATCTATAGCCTGTTTTTGTAAAAATATGGTAATGTGTCATTTCTTTGTTTCATGTTAAACCTTTCAGTCACAATCAAACATGCGCCTATACAGTGGCGCTCTGGCATATTTCTGTACCAGAAACTGTGCACATACATACACACACACACACTCTCGATCCCCCTTCCCCAACATACATCCATTCACACAGACACACAAACAGACACACACGCAGAGTGTGAGATAGAAAGGGGGAATAAGAGAGAGAGAGAGGGAGAGAGAGAGAGAAAGAGAGATCATTCTACCTGAAGGTAAAGAAATACACAAACACAGATGCACACGCAGAGTGAGAGAGAGAGAAAGAGAGAGAGGGAAAGGGGTGGGGGGCATTGAGAGAGTGTGAGATAGAGAGAGAGAGAGACCATTCTACCCGAACGTAAAGAGTTTATTTGAAAAAACAATATTGATTGCCTTACTCATTGTGGCTTTCGCGTCGATTCGTGACACCGAAGTTTGTACTTGAAACGTGGCTTTAGCGGCAATTGGTATTCCCGGGCGGACACCCGTAAAGAAATACACAAACACAGACGGAGCGAGAATGAGAGAGAGAGAGACAGACAGACAGACAGAGAGAGATAGAGATAGAGAGAGAGGGAGATAGATAAATAGATAGAGAGAGAGTGAGAGAGAGAGAGAAAGACCATTCTACCCGAAGGTAAAAATATACAGTCATACACAGATGCACGCAGAACGAGAGAGAGACAGACAGAGAGTAAGACAGAGAGAGAGAGATCATTCTACCCGAAGGTAAAGAAATACACTAACGCAGACACAGACGCACACGCGGAGAGAGTGAGCGAAAAGGAGAGAAAGGGGAGAGAGACAGCGATAGAGAGATTGAGAGGGAGGCATAGAGAGAGAGACGGAGAGATACAGAGAGAGAGACACACACAGATATTGGGACAGAGAAAGAGGGAGAGAAACTGAGAGTGACACGCAGAGGCAGACACACACAGAGAAAGAGAGAGACAGACAGAGAGACATCGAGATAGAGACACTGAGATTGAGAGAGACACAGAGAGACAGAGAGACAGAGACAGAGAGAGAGACACCGAACAGACACTGATATTGAGAGAGACACACACAGAGACAGAAAGGGAGAGAGACACACAAACAGAGAGAGACAGAGAGATCAGTCTACCCCAGGGTAAAGAAATCCACCAACACCAGACATCCTTAATATACAGTGACCGCACTGCTTTTCGACTTCATTAACTAAGCAGGGTTATTGATTAATGGGATATTCCAAGCAGATAAACATTGTTTATTGCATATGGTATTGTTTATTGTATCATTTCATCATTACATTTGCACCCACAACAATGCCCTCACGCTATAAAGAATTATTCCTCAATGTAAGCATTGTTATGTGTGTGTTGTGCTCGCTCGGAATAGGTTCATTCTGTAACACTAGATCCTTGATAACAAGTCCATGAATTGTTGATAAACACATGGTCTGCATACAGCCAAACACAGTCACCCATTTGTCCGTTTGTGAATGGGACGTATAGTCAGGTATT